AAGAGGGTTTTCATAGTTATAAACCTTTACAGAAATGTTAAAGACTGCCACATCCCTTTCCTTCGGAGAAGCTAATGAGTTCAAACAGTCAACTTTTCAGTTGGTGGCAAAGAGTTTTTAATCATCATGTTACCAGATTTTCTCTCAAGCACAGAAGAAGGCCTCAATTGCCCAATATGCATGCTTCCCCGTACTGCCAATGTTTCAGTCTTTACTGGAGATGTTTCAGTTTTACCTTGAGGTCTGCTGCTTCTAGAACAAAGTACTTAAACATAGAGCCATTTGGCACTGAGAATTTAAGTGTCCATTAATATAAATTCTTCATAACCTGTGTCCTGCCATCACCAAGCTTCTCTCTTGTATATTTATATTTACCTAAGTGTCTGGCATCCACTTCCTAAACAACATGCCTCCTCCGGAAAACTCTATAAACTTTGATAAAGGTTGATAGTTATAGAGGGGCTTCAGGCCTTTTGTTCACAAGGTCACTATGCGTTGTGATCGACTTAAAGGCAATCAACAAATGTCTGGCACATAGAAAGCACCATAAGCACATGTTAAATAAACACTTGTTGTCAGTGAATTTAAAGACTCAAAAGGATATCTTTAATCTAAGTAATTGTTGCTTTGTGTTTCTGTATTTTATTCTTTTCTGAACATACAGATATTGTTGCATTTAGGAATAAGGTGATTTATTTCATGTTATGAATTGTAACACTGTTGTTGACCCAGGCCTTCAAACTGGTTTGAAGTTCATTCAGTCATAGCTGACGGAGTGCATGTTTATACAGCAATCAATCTCTGGAGGGATTCTGATCCAAAAGGAGTCCTGGTGGCACAAGGGATCACATGCCAGGCTGATAACCAAAAGGTCATCCATCCTAATCCACCAGCCAATCTGTGGAAGAAAGATGAGGAGTCTACTCCTCTATCTACCACTGGGGAAGCCTAGTGGAAGGTCACCATAAAGTTACAATGGATTCAACACCAGTGGTCTGGTTTAGGAAACAGGACCAGTGCCAAGCTCAAATATTCACTTATTCAAATATTCTTTTTTTAAAAAAGAATTTACTTTTAGTATTTCAAACAGGATGGTTTTGGTTAAGCAAAAAAGAGTACATGAAGTATTCCAAGCCATTTTGTTTTAATTAAAATGTTTAAGATGTAAAAAGAAAAAAAGACAATATAAAGAATACATATGTATATAAAGAAATTAAAAATTCAGCCTAAAGTTTGAATAGGGTATGTCTACATGTTCCTTCTTGTGGTTGCTATGTATTGTCAAGTCAGAACTGATCCATAGCTGACCTTCCAGAAGCTTTTCAGAAGTAATTTAACCACATAAGAGGAGACTGTCCATATGTTTCTTATGGAGCAGCTGGTGGATTCAAACCATGTACCTTCAGGTTGGCAGTGCAGCTCCTTATCCACTTGGCCACCAGAACTCACCTATATCTTAGGTGGATTACAAGCCTATTCACAAGATACTTGGTTGTGAAGCAAAGCATATGATTTGCTGGGAATGAATCAATCAATCTGAAACCCTCCATTGCCTATCCTACCTGAATAACTATTATGAAAGATAACTCAAACATCTCATTCCTGTAAGAGTAAGAGTTACAGAAGATAAAATAGATGAATGTAATCTTCTAAGAATCAAATCCCTATGCACATCTAAAAACTTCTCCAACAGGGTAAAAAGGGAAGCCACAGATGAGGAAAAAGTATTTGGTAATGACATGTCAGATAAGGGACTTATATCCAGAATTTATAAAATACCTGAGCACCACAACAAGATTAAGGTAAATAATTCAATAGAAAAATGGGGACAGGATATGAAGACACTTCACCGAAGAAGACATTCAGATGGCTAACAAGCACATGAAGAAATGTTCAAAATCCCTAGCTCTAAAAGATGCAAATCAAAACAATTATGAGATATCATCTCACCACAGTAAGAATAGCAAAATTTAACAGAACAGCAAGCAACAAATGCTGGC